GGAAAAATAAGGACAACTGTAACTGAAGAATAAAAAAAAAAATCAGTGAATCATTAATATGCAAAAGAGTCCCCTGAGGTGGGAAGGCCACAGGAATCTTTCGAGTCCTGAGCGGGCCAAGGCCTTCATGGGAGGAGTCTGCATGACCCAGGGAGGGCAGGAGCCAACAAGAGCTATTCGGCTCAACTCCAGAGGTCACCTAGCATTTTCCCAGGAACCATACAGCAAGGGCAACGACTAAGATCAAGACCCTCCATCAAAACCTTACCACCTAAGCACTAGGGATGTGATGTACAACATGGTGACCACAATTAACACTCTTCTATGACACACATGAGTGAAACCTGAATTCTCATTACAAACAAAATTTTTTTCTTGTTTTGTTTTTTATTTACTCTGTACATGAGATGATGAATGTTCACTAAACTTACAGTGATAATCACTTCATGATATATGGAAGTCAAACCATTTTGCTGTACACCTTAAACTTCTACAATGATATATGTCAATTACATCTCAATAAAACTGGGGGGAAATCCTTACCACCACAGAGGACTGGAAAGGGGGTAATGTTGTGGGGGCAGAGAAGTGCAGATGGTTTGCCAGAGAGGTTCTGGTTTTTCCAGTTAGGTCTGGGAAGAGAAGACACACAAAGGATAGAGGGAATGGTAGGTAGTATCTTAAGAGAGGGAATGGTGGAGCGCCAGTGCGGAATTGAGCTGGCGGCTCACCAACGTAAACCCTCAGTCCTGATCCTGCCAGGCAGGGCCCAATGAATGTATACTGAATTAAATGCCAAGGAAGAACACTGATAATCAGTGTTGGTTTGAACTTTTTCTTCTGTAGGCACATAAAAGAGTGGTGATAAGGCCATAGATCAGGCAAAGGTTAGAAACTGGGCCATGTCGCTTAGCAGTGCTGTAAACTTATTGAACCACACTCATCATCCCATCTACAAAATGAAGCTGATAATCATAAAACCAACTTTAATAAATCAATATGAGAATCACATAAGCATATGTCAAGTACTCCAAACATTTTCAAAGTTACATTATTATTACTATTATGATTAAGAAAGAATACTAGGAATATTAACATTTTCTGGCCTCAGTTCCGTGGTTCAGCATGAATCCCATTAACCCTCTGGCTACCCACTCACTCTATTTCTAGAGAGTCAGAAGACACGACGGCCTCAAGGATACAGCTGTATCCCCTCTCATTTCTGTGACCTGCATCAGGAACGCACTGGCCATCTCCCCCATGCCTCCAGACGACCTAGAGCCTGGACCCACAACACACTTCCATTCAGTCTCATACACACCTTCAAGCTTCAGGCCCTGGATTCCCACCCAGACAGACAGCAACCTCCTGCATACAGCACAACTTTACCTCCTCTTCGTCACATCGGTTTCTTCCAGCAAGGCACAGCCTTCCAAGCCCTTTTCCAAGAAAAGTCCCCACCCACCAATGCATACACAGACCTAAAATGCCTAATTACCGCCCAAGGTCAAAGTCTCAGGTTCATTCAACCAATTACTTAAGTGTGTTACTATGCTTCCTGCATTACTATCCAAATACCTATTCCCAGAGATGGTTTCAGAGCTCTTGCCCAGGCTTGTGCTGTGAATCTCTAGAGAACCATTTAATGGCCCCTCTGGCCTACAAGATAAATTTAAATCTACTTAGCAAAAAATAAAAGTCCTCCCCTTTCTTCAATTCCCACAGCACCCTTCATGCTAGCCATTCAAAATACAGCTTCAAGAGTAAACATTCTAACTTTCCCTATTTGCCTCACAGATTGACTATTGCTTGTCCTTCTTCCACTTGGACAACTCTTAGCCTGCCCCCAAGATTCTCTTCCGACACCACTCCCTCTGTGCTGGCTTCCCTGAAATCAACCCTCCTCAGGTCAGAGCAGCCAAAACATACCCGGAGGACAGTGTGCGCAGGCGCAAGGACTAGTGCTCCTCAAGGAAAAGGGACCCGGTCCTCATCTTTGTACTCCAAGGGTCTGCCAGTTCTTGGTTCACAGTAGGTGGGCTCCAGAACTTATGTGCTTCCTACACCACTCTTCTTTCTGTGTAAAAATAGCCATGTGTTCCATCCTCTGGATTCACCTTATCACCTGGCATCTCCGAGAGCCCTGTCTATTTTCCATTAAATACAGCAAATTTCTGGGCTAAGGGGGCTTCCCTGTCCCTGGAAGTTACACTCTGCCCTTGGTCAAAAACCGGTCATCATTCCAGCATCTTAAACCGTAGTTCTGAAATCAAATCCAACTTGACTTTTCCCGGGTTCCCCATTAACCCATGCGAGTTCCAGAACAAGATAAAGTCACATATTAACACCAAGGGTCACAGTTCTGGGTTTGTAATTTTGAGCACATTTCTAATTAGCCGAGTAACCGTGGGCAAGAGTAACAATGGAGATGAAAGTATCTCCAGGCCCAATTCTCAGGGGATTCTTGAGAATCAAATGGAAAACCTGATGAGAAAGTGTTTTCTGAAGTGCAAAGCATTGTACATTCATACAGGGTATGATTAACAAATTCTATCAACTCTAAACCACTGACTGTAAGATGTACCATCATCAACTTAGAATGAAAAATTGCTCAACTATGACACATCTGTGATTATAAGACAGCCCAATTTCAGTGATATCAAAATTTTAAAAAGTGTGTCTTAGAACTGATAATATAAATGTATTTGTCTCCAAAATACAGGAACATGCTTTAAAATCTTCATATTTGCCAAGGGCACATAATAGGTAATAATATATGACCAGTAAATGAGTGAACACCCAATGATAATATTCATAGGCCAAATTACTGCCTCTCTCACTAGAAATGAGCAGCGGGAGGCTTCCCAATGCCAGTCTCTCCCCTCTCAGTCATGTCCCAGCCTGCTCAAAGCACTCAAGTGAAGACCTCAGGTCATATCCAGACTCCCAAGCCTGACATTTTTAAGGCCCTTCATAATCAAGCCTCTTTTCCCACCAACCACTGGCTGAAACTGTCTATCTCCCCCAAAGCAATGACCTCTCCGCCAGAAGACACCACCTCAAGGGTCCTAATCAGTCCTAGCCATAGCAACCAGCTTAGCAGCTCAGCCGCTCCTCCCTCTACCCATCCCCAAAGCCAACTCTTGGCTAGCCAGCTGCTTACAGGGAGGATGACCCTGGGGAACTGCCTGACCCAAAGGTCCCAGGCCTACACCCCTACCATTCAGACAGCTACCCCCAACTACTTATCTCCCATCTAGAGCCTCTATCCCAGAATGTAAAGGCCTGGGCAATGGAGTTGAGGGAATGTTTTATGAAGATTAAATGCAAGACACACATTCATCCTTTTAACAGCCCTCAATGCTGGCAGGAACCCTGGAGGAAGAAATGCTGGTCATGGGGTAGAGTGAACCCTATTGGAAATTCTGGCCCCCTACTATCCACCATTATTTGCTGTAGCACCCACCTTCTCTGGGCCTTTATTTTTGTTTCCCTGTCTGTAAGAGTGCGGGAGAGTGAGGATGTGAGGTAGTGGGAGGGTGTTAGTTGCTTCCCTTCCCTCCACTTAAAGGCACAAGATACGGAAGAGGTAAGCCATTAAGTCACAAATACCATAGTGAGAATAAGTTTTATTAGGAGGCAAGTGATTTAGAAATGGGGTAGAGGTGGAAAGAGAATTGGAAAGAAAAATAAGTCTGGTATTAGGAAAGTAACTGAGAGATGACCCTATATGTTTGCATTGTGTGTTGAAGGCTGAGTGCGTCCCTGGCAAGGGAAGGGAAGGAAGCCAGAGAGATCTTTCCGGTCCCCCTGGCATCAAAAAGTCCCAAAGACACTGCTCAGTCAGAGTACTTAGGAACAATTCCACTGATTATCTCATCTCATATATGCCCTCTCTCCAACCCCAGGCCCTCAACACAGTAACATTTACAGTTTCATCTCCACTCTCCACATTTAGGATTCTCTGGTCTATAGTACCACCTCACCCCCTCAACACCCCTCACCCCCGCACAGATGGCCTCCCTCCATGACCCTGGCTGGCTGCAGAAAACTCCCATCCTTCAAAAAGCCCTGATCAAGCGCGGACTCCCTCCAAAAGGCTATCTCTGTTCCTTCTCCAGAGACCAGGAAATCAAACTCTTTTTCCTGAGCCCATTAAAACGTTATCCCGCCTTTTCCCAAGCACGCAGCACTTTCAATCTTGGGGCAGGTTTGGCTCCTCCGTAGTCTGAGAGCTCCCTGAGGGCAGGAACTGGGCCTTACCTGCCTCTCTGACCCAATAACCCAGCACAGCACCTGGCATACAGTGGGAGCTGGAGAAATGCTTGGAGAAAGGAAATTAGAAATATAGAGTCATTTATTTTAATTACAACTAGACTGACTTCGAGAGCGGCCCTCTTTCTCTCTGGACCTCAGTTGTCCCAACTGTAAAATGGGGGACTTGGATGGCTAGGTTCCTAGGCCCCTTCCACAGTGACAACTGGGATTCCGCGAAAGCTCCAAGCAGCTGGGCGTGGCCCCGCCCCCTGGGGGACCCAGAAAGAGCCCAGGCAGGGGGCAAGCAGAGAAAGCCTCCAACCCCGCCCAGCCCGCGGTCTGAGCTTCCCGAAAAACTCGGGGTCTCCCTTCCACGGCGTGCACCCCGTGACTGCGCCGCGGCCGGCACTTCCGCACCGCGGGCCCTTCGGCCCAGGCAGGGCGCGCACTCCACACCCTGTGCTCACGCTCCTGCCACCCCAGAGGCGCTCGCGCCCGGGGAGGTTGGGGGTTCCCGAAGCACTCGCGGGCGGAGGGTGGGGGGAAGGAAGGAGGATTTGCAACAATACCTCTGGGAGGAGGCAGCCGGGGCAGCGGCGGCGGCGGCGGCTGCTGGAGGCGGAGGCAAAGGCGTAGGAGGAGGTGCCCGGGCACTCCCCCTCCCATTGTCCCTAGCCCCGGACAGGCCCGACCCCGCGCCCCGCACCGTGCCCCGTGCCCCGGGCCGTGCAACCAGCCCTTACCTTGCAGCACCCGGCTCTCCCCCTGCTCGCTAAAGCTACTTATCCCGGGAAAGCTCGTGCGGGGCCCGGGAGCGAACCCACAGACAAAAAGTGAAACTTCGGCAAGGCTGGAGCGGCTGCTGGTTGGTGCCTTTCCCCCTCCTTCCTCCCCACCGTCCCCACCCCCTCCCCTCGGTCTCCCGTGCGGTGCCCTGAGAGCTGGAGGCTGACGTCAGGGGCCTGAATTCCTGACTTTGCCTGCACGCATTTGTCCATGTAAGGTATGGGAAGGCGGGTGCCCGCGGAGCCGCCGCGACGCTCGCCTGGTGGGGGAGGGGGCGCCCGCGGCCGGCAGTGGCTTTGCCGAAAGGTGGGCTTACTACGGACATTTTATTTCCTGGGAAGAAGAGGAGGGGATGGAGGGAGCTTTCGAAGGAGGAAGAGAAAGAGGGAGGTGTGGAGGATTTGCCTACACTGGAGGAAGAGGAAGGAGACGTAGAAGGAGGAAGCTGTCGAGTCGAGGGGCTGTTTAAGAAATGGGAGAACCTGCATCTGCTCTTAAAGGCGCCAAGTTAGGGCTCTGAGTCCGAGCAGCAGGGATCCTGCGCTGGAAACGCCTCGCTCCTGAGCCTCTCTCTGTATTCGCAGCAGGGCTCACAGCGTTCTGCATGTCGGAGCTGGCAAAGACCAACTTCCAACCCGCCCACTTCACACAGGAGAAAAGTGAAGGTCTCCGAAGAGAAATGACTTGTACAGGGTCGCACACGACACGGTCCCGGGCGTGGGACCTGGATACTCAGACTCCCAATCCGAGTTCCTGTCGCCAGGCAGGGCCTTGCCTCCCTTCTCCCGGAGCAGTGAACCAGGTCAGATGCCAGCGGCCCACGCAGACCACCCAGTGAAGAGATTTCGAACTTCCTTTGGCCCAGAGTCACTTCCTGGAAGGTCTAATTGATAACCCTGAACAGAAAACTCGTCAATTGCTTCAAGGTTACTTCCTTTGCCCTATGCTCAAATAAAGGAATCCCTGGAGTTAAACGTTTATTTCACAGCCTGGTCCTGAAGTCTAGAAACCTTAATCTGTGCTTATAGACTACAAAACGAAATCAGCGAACTGGGTGAACTAGTTTGAATAAAAGCAAGCGCATTCTTGGAAAGTTGCACTTGGATTTTTTTCCTCTGTCATTTGTAAATGTGAGCAATCATGAAAACCACCACCATTTACTATGTCGAGGCAATTTCATGTGCAGTAGCCATTGCCTGGAAGGTGTTCCAAGGGTGGGGACTTTATTTCCTTGTGTTTCTATCCTATTGATTTCTACAATAATAATCCCTCACTTTAGCCCATTATTAAAGTGCTTTCTCATTGTTCATTGGACGAAGTATAGTCATTTTTATATTTGAGGAAAAAAGGTAAAGTAACTTGCTTAACACAAAAGCACCTGAACTCACTTCCATGCGTACAAGTCACCTGAATAATCCCATGATTCCAGGCAACCAGGAGGCCCTGACCCCCAGCAGGACTTAACCGTATATAATGCGCTCCTGTGTATAATGCGCTCCTGTGTATAATGCGCAACCATGTTTTTGGCCCAAACTTTCAGGAAAGAAGTCATTTTAGTTCAATTTTTATATATATGTAAAACTGATTATCACATTCCAGGGTATTATTTTGCCTACTGATACCTTTATTGCTTTCCAGAGTTACACTTTTAATGCGTAAGCATAAATAAAAAACTTAAAAACATTTATAAAGATAGAATTAGGACTACCCTGTGTAATGTGCATCCTTGTTTTCCCCTCAAAAATTTGGGCAAAAAGGTGCGTATTATACATGGCAAAATACAGTAATTCCCATTCATGAACATTGAGAGTACACTGTGAATTACCTTTTCATAAAACTTTGAAAATCCTGGTTCTTCTGGGATTTGGTGGGATTTTTTTGAACAAGAATTAAATAAATGTAGAAAAATATATTATTGCACATAACATTTATTTAACACCTTCCGTGTGCAAGGTCTTTGAATTTCTGGGTTCAAATTCTTTAATCTCTCTTCCTCTCAAATTCTCATTTACACATAGAAAAATAGGAAGATAGTAGCAGAGAAATGCAGTCAAGAGTACCTACTCCATGCAATAATGAAATATTTTCCTCTTTGCAACTAACAGCCTGAAATAAGGAAAAAATGAATTCATAAAAGAAGTTTTCTTGTGGGGCTTTAAAAGGATCAGATCCTATCCCAACACAGTTCATTTACTCTATCTTCAACATTTTAGCAAACATGTTCTGAGGGCTGCAACACCTGATACCACACAAAGTAAGAATGGATTCACCCAATCCTCAACAGACATAAAAGGACTTGACCAGCATTTCTTTTTCTTTCTCCCATTAACCCACTTATAAAGAATAATAGGGTTCTAATGAGGATTAATAAGATTTAATAAGGTATAATTAGAGTCATTCATTTCCTCCATCATACACATTATAAGAGCGCTGTGTTGGATTCAGAAATGCTACTAATTATGTTGAAACTGTTATATGGCTGTGTTGGGGAAGATCACTGTGTTTCTCCTCCTAAAATATTTATGAATTGCTCAGGTTAGCATAAGCATTATATAAAGTTAATCACAAAAGATGATTTCAACTCACGAGGCACCAGGAGTATAAGAGGTAAAATAAATGGAGTACTTGGCAAACTGCATGCAGTGTTGTCACCAGTGCAAACTCAGATCAAAAGCCTCATTGTCATTTGCTGATCTGGTTTCGTTTGTATTCTCACTTTTCTCAACATCCCTGTTAAAACCTGTGTGCAGAGAGTTCGGACAGAAAAGAACGGTGCGTGAATCTGCAGACTCGATGCTAGAGAAATACAGATTTACAAATTCAGAGACTAAAAGAAGCACAGAATTTCAGGTGGGGCAGAGGTCATGTGATCCGAGGGTTGCACACAGGTGGCCTACGGAAGCACTCTGATTGGTCCAGTCATGGCATAGAAAACTTTGAGGAAGACCTGGCTGTGGTCCTACCATTTCCTTGCATGCATTATGGTCCCTTACTCAGAGGCCTTTTTATGTCATGTCAGTCTTGTCTTTGTGCTTATGATATGCCAGGCAATATTCTAATGATTTTTCATAGCTTTTCATTGAACGCTCACAAAGCCCTTCTGAGGTTGGCATTACCATTTTCTCTGTTTTGCCCATGAGTAAGTAAAGCCCAGAAAGATTAAGTACCTTGTTCTTAAGACAGAGCCAGTACATGGATAAGCTGAGATTCCCCCTGAACCCAGGCAGCCTGGCACTTGACTCTCTCATTGCCAAGCGACCATCTGGTCTCAGCTGGAATACCCCAGCATGCAGAACTCATAATCTCCAACAGGTGACCAAAAGGAAAAAATATGAAGAGGCTACCAGAGAAATAATAAGGACAGAAGGGGCATGGAACATAAACACCAGCCTGATGTTGCCTCTCCACAGCCTCACGCACATCAGGCCAAACTCCCTATTGTGGTTTGCACAGCTTTTCAGACATTTCTGCCGGTCCTTCACAAGCACTCATCCTGCAGCCAATTGAAGCTCTAGCTGTTCTTAAACACATCTCACCTGTTCATGCTTATCTGCCTTACACGGGTTCTTCTTTCTTCCAGGAACTCTCTCCCTTCTCCTTCCGCCTAGGAACTCTTACCTAATCTCTTCAGACTCCCCTTAAATATGCTCCTTTGCGAGGCCTTCTAGCCCCTACCACCACCTCCAGTGGACACGATACCCTTGCAGAGTGTTCCCATTATACTGCTTACCTCAATCCATGACTCTGAATCGTGTCATTGACTTTTTCTTCTACTGAACTGAGAATCAAATTCATCTGAGTTCTTAACACAGTGAATGCTTGCCTTGATCATTATAGGCGTTGAACTGTTTTCCCTTCTTTTCCTCCTTCTTTTTCTTCCTCCTCCTCCTCCCTCTCTTCTTCCATGGTCTTCTCCTCCTTCCCCTTCTCTTACTCCTCCTCCCCTTTCCTCCCTCTTCTCCTCCTCCTCTTTCCCCTTCTCTTACTCCTCCTCCCCTTTCCTCCTTCTCCTCCTCCTCATCCTCCCTGTCCTCCTCCTCATCCTCCCTCTCCTCTTTCTCCTCCTCCCTCTCCTCCTCCTCCTCTTTCTCCTCCTCCTCCTCCTCCTCTTTCTCCTCCTCCTCCTCTTTCTCCTCCTCCTCCTCCTCCTCCTCCTCCTTCTCCTCATCCTCCTCCTCCTCCTCCTCGTCTTTCCCCTCCTCCTCCTCTTTATTCTTCAATTCTACTACTACTTCTCCTCCTCCTTTGCATTGAAGACAGAGAAGATACACAAGGTATAGAGCCTGGGCATTTAAATGAAATCATGTAACTTCCTCAAGAGGTGAGGCCTGGATGTGATAAGACCAGTAGGAAGAGAGAAGAGTCAGAGGCATCCAACCATTTGGAATTAGAAGCAGGATTGGTATGGGGAGGCAAAAGAGAGGAAGGTTTGTAATCCTTTCCTTCCCCTAAAACTGCTATGTAACTGCATGGCAAGCCGCCTTCTCTCTGGTCTCAGTTTCTTTACCCATACAATTAGGTTCTTAGATTTGATGTTCTCCAACACTCTCCCAGCTCTTCAATTTGATGCTACTTTCAACATGTTGACCAAATTCGTCTTCCCAGAGGATAGCATGCCACATTAGGCTCTGTTCTAAACCTTCTCGTGTTTATATTTTATTAATTATCTAAGGATATAATACTGCTATATGAGTAAACATGGAATTAAAGCAATGGTTGTTTCGCAGCTTTATATTAAATAAATTATTTTTAAAAATACCCAAGATCATTTTTTTTCCAGGAAGAACTAAGCATAAGTGACAGTCCTGATATTTGATATAGCCAGCTCTATAGCTGAACTCCTTTCTCTTCCCAAGACTATTGTACTAACGTGTGATGCAAACATGACCTTTTGTAAGCATCAGCCTTTTGTAAAGAAATGAAAACTTGATATGGTAAACAGTAGTGGTAGACTTTCAGTAAATGCCTCATTAAAGATAAGCAGTTTACAAAAGGTTTGTTTACTCTCTGTTCTGCACACT